GATCAGCGTCCATTGTGGGCACTAGTCTCCCATGGCAGTAAGTCCCTCATTGCAGCGTGTGCGGGGCAAATGTTCCTCACATCCCCTTTTTGTGCCACAGTCGAAAGAAACCCCGTTTCCTTCCTGCTGGGAACAAATATGGAAGTGGGGTTGACCAGATACTATATGATACCCACACATGAGCAGAACAGAGAAATTTACTGTGTGCCCGGAGCAGGGGGAAAGCTTTCCTGATAAGGAGTAGACACTGAGAGAGAGAGAGAGTGGAACTCAATTTCCAACCTCCTTATCAGGGAACATTCTGGGCCCAAGGCCTCTGCATAGGTGGTCAGGATGGAAGGCACCAAGGCAGTGGCAGACCATCCCCCAACAAATGCAAAGGAATCTTCAGAGTCTTCAGGCTCCCTTTTCTGTATTCCTTTCCTCTTTTGGTACCATCTTTTTCCATCCCTACTGCCTAGTACCACTCCTTTATTCTTCTTTTCCATACCAGTTTGCTCTCAGGAAATATTTAATGAATGATTCACATGGATATAGTCCAGTAAAATAACTCTTGGTCTTGTTTCTACTGTTTGTTTATTGTGTTATTTTGGGAAAAGTCTCCCAATTTTCCCATTTGTCAAGTGGAGAAGACACTAATACACAGCCTACTTAGTTGTTATGAGAATCAAATAAGATGAAATGTTTTGTAATCATGTTACCCTGCCATCCAAGGACATATAACTAAAAACACTTTTAGAATTATCCTGAGCTGCACATATATAGAGCATTAGTATTACATCTCCCAGGAACATTTGCATTTGAGCTGGTAATAAAACCTAAGACCAAATAAATAAAACTTTCTTTATGGAGTTTTAGGCATAAACCGGAAAGTAGATGAGATATTTTGAGAAAAAGAAACTCTTTCCCAGGAAACTTAAAATTCCACCTAATACATACTCATGCTGTCTGGCCCACGTTATCTAGGGTGGGCACATTGTAATCCCAAATATAAGAATTTGAAGTATCTGTGTTGAAATATAAACATAATGTAAATACTTAATAAGTCTTGTCCTGGCTTTGGGAATTACCTTTTGCAGTTTGAGAGTTTCCACCTTTTTTTGGGGGGAGGGGGGCTGGGAAGTATAGGCATTTCCTTGGTCACTAAAAATTTGTAGCAGAAACATTCTCAAAAAATAATCCATTATCAAATTTTAATTGTTTAACTTACATAATGAAATCCCAAGAGACATTGAAAAAAAAATTTCATATAGAGCAAATATTTAAGACAAACAAAAGGATCTGTTCTTAAAAGTAAAAGGAATTGATTTCCCAAATACTTTCCATCTAAAGAGCATTATTGATTTTTCTCTCAGAGGGTAGAACTTTTTACTTTGTAATCCTGCTCAGAATCCATCCATGAGCTCTCTCCTGCATAACTGGAGCTCACTACAGCTTTGCTTTCAATTAACAAGCTAAATTCTTAGGTTAATCTGAATTTGTCGGCCCTGTCTTCTCTGAGTTCAGACGCAGAAAGACCTCTCTGTTTGAGAACGTTTTCTAACTAAAACCAACAAGCAAGAAATTAGCTTTCCTCCCAAAATTTTTCTTATCTTAGTAATGATTTTATTGACTTCAGCAACCATTTGGGGTGGGGGAGGGGAGTGGCTACTATGTACCAAATTCTGTGGTATAAGATAAAAAAAAGATTCAAATTCCTTGTCCTCAAAGAGTCTGTCTGCGAAGGCAGATGTGTACATAAGCTATCATAGTCTGTGTAAATTTGCTCTACTGTGTTATGTCACAGTAATAGATGGAAACATATGAGAGAAAAACTCATTCTGATAACAGCATTTTTAACTATTACTGTACATTGAAAGGAAACCCTGCTGGTGTAGTGGTTAAGAGCTACAGCTGCTAACCAAAAGGTGGGCAGTTTGAATCCACCAGATGCTCCTTGGAAACCCTGTAGGGCAGTTGTGTTGAAATACGCATCATCTTAACCATTCCTATGTCTAAGTTTAAGCTTAGTTACCGATCTCTGCTTTTTCTAATGGACATTAGAACATTGATAACTTCTTAAAAATTTATCCAACTGACTTTCCAATAGCAAACTTTCTACCTGTTCTTATGACAAAACTATTTTTAGTATATTTTGAAGAGAGTTTATTAGTACAGCTTTCTTCACAGAGAAGGTCCCTGGGTGGCCCAAACAGCTTGCCCTCAGCTGCTTCCATAAAGATCACAGCCAAGAAAACCCTATTCAGGCATAATCTCCCCACCAGGTGTTTGGAGAATGTATGAAGATAGATGGGAGATACAAGGAATGATGGAGGAGACTTTCTTAGCTACACTGTAGGGTTACATCTAAAGACAAAGTGCTTTTTCTCTCTTCCTGCACCAAGCATAGTATATATCATAAGACATGCTAAGTGCAAGCTTTGTTGAATTTTTTTTCAATTTCAGTACGTTCAATAGAACATGGCAGAGTGATCACCCAGGATTCTCTAGGGAACACACATAAGCATGATAAAAAAATTACTGTAAAATTTATTTTAGACTGAGAGTTTTTAAGTCTGCTTGTAAACTAAGGTAGTAGAGGAGATGAGAGCTGACTTTGGGCTCAAACTGCCTGTGTTAAATATTACTTCTGCCACTTTCCAGTGGAATGACCTTGGGGAAGTTAACAATTTCTGGCCTTCAGTTTCATTAACTTTGAATCAGAAATAATAATGGTACCTACCTCATGGTGTTGTTTTAGGGATTAAATGAGTTAAATCCATATAAAACCTGTGGTATGACTGGCACACAGTAAGCACTATATAAATGTTTGCTATTATTATCTGATTGATTCTTCTGCTGTATTTGAGAGACTGTATTATTAATTGTTCTGCTATATTTGGGAGGCCTAATTATTATGACTCTCACTTTTAACTAGGATGAATATGTATGAAGTTAAAATTACCCACCGCATTGGTACTATTTGATTTAATTGATCTTGCAATGAACACACATTTATCGAATGCCTGCTACGTGCAGACCCCTGCTCTACCTGTTGATGCTACCACATATGATGTCTAAAATTTATCCTTGGTCCATTATATATTTGCAGAAGGATCAATACATATGGAATCTGTCTTAGTTTGCTAGGGCTGCCATAACAAAAATACCACAAAGTGGGTGGCTTTAAAGAACAGAAATGTATTGTCTCACAGTTCTGGAGGCTAGAAATCTGCATTCAGGATGTTGGCAGAGCTGTGCTTTCTCTGTGTCTGGGGGAAGATCTTTCCTTGTCTCCTTCAGTTTCTGGTAGCCCTAGGCATTTCTTGGCGTTCCTTGGCTTTAGATGGATCCTTACATGCTGTCTTCCTCCTGTGTATGTGTGACTGTTTCCCTGTATGTCCTTCTCTTTTATAAGATGCCACTCAGAAACAATTAGGATTAGGACCCGCTTTACTCCGGCATGACTTTGTTAATTTACCTGATAAAATCTCCAAAGAAAAACCCTATTTCCCCAAACAAGGTCACATTCACCAGTACAGGGGCTAGGACTTCAACATATCTTTTGGGGGGACATAATTCAATCCATAACAGAATCTCATGTCTCCTTCTGAGTTTCAAGAATGAGTTCTTAATTTCCATCCTTTTGACTAGAAACTTTGTGCAACAACTCCCAACTCAACAATTGCTTTCCTCTTTAGCTCATCTAACTGACTTAGAATACTTTACACAGCACTGGCTGATGGAAAAAGAACACGAAAAATATATAATGCCATGAGAATTCTTTTCTGACATTAGTTCTGTTTTTATTTCAGCGAGGTAACAGCATCGTTTGTCTTTCCAGTCATAGTCAGCTCTATTACTCGTGAGGCCTATTATTTACTCAAGAGTTATACCAACTGCTTCCAAGCATCCATCACTACATTCTTGTGTCCTCTACATTTAGTGGCACAATGTAAGTGTTTCATATTAGATGAGATCTTCAGTTGCAAGCCATCCATAAGAAACACCTGTCATAAATGTTAAACAACATTAAATTTTTCCATATACCTAAGGTGTTACCTGTATCAATGAGTGCAGCTACTGATGCTTCCTTAAAATTTTTCTTTACTTTTCAAAGCTTTTATTCCTTTTTTTTCTTTTTGGTTTTAATAATCTTTGCATAAAGGTGTTGTTTGATTTCCTCAGTAGTATTCTTTTTATGCCTTCTCTTCTAAGGTAAAATGTAAAGAACTTTTGCCTCTATAACTTTCTATATCTTAGATTTCTGGGTTGGGATGAATTATGCAATCTCTTTTATGAGATAGCTTAATGTATCTTGGCTTGAACTACTTGATTTAAAATTGTTCTTTGCCTTGTATTTTCTTAACACCCTTTCCCCAAAATGAAATCCCTAAAAAACTTGGAAAACTCTTCTCTTTTTTATCTACCCAAAAGTTATCATAGTTCTTAGTGAAATACTTCATGTCACATAAAAAAATACCAGTATTTCAATGTTTAATTAACTTTGTAGTTTTATAACAGATATCTTTTTCTGCCTTGAAAGTTTATATGTAGCCCATTTTCACACAACTCATTCAAAAGAATGAAGCAATAGAAAAAATGTTTTTCCCATATTTTCTAAGTTAATAACACCTGAGGACATACATTTCTATACTATATTGATCAATGCCTTGTGAGAAGTGATGAAAATAAACTGAAGCTACAACTTCTACCCTCGAATCGTTTTATAGGTATAATTCCTTTTAATAAAGAATATGCTGATGGTTGACCTTCTGGTAAAATGTTACATGTTCCTACTTAGGGCCTCTCCTTAGATTCATGCAGTATTTAACCTAGAAATGTCAGGAATCTGATAATAAGTTAACATTCATGTAATTCTCTATAAATTAGAAAAATTGACTAAACAGATTCTCCTTTTTTCCTTACAGTAAGATTTCAAGAGTTCTCAGATACATCATTTAAATTTATGTTCTTTTGGTAAATGTTTACATATTTGTTTTGATTTATTTCTAATATAGGGTCCTCCTGGAATACAAGGAGTACAACAGACTTTTGGTGGATATTACAACAAGGTATAGTTTTCTTTTTTCATATCTTATATATACAGAGATTTTATGAAGTAATATTTTTGGAAAAAAAGTAAAGTCATTAATTCCTAACTGCTCAGGCTTTGATACATGATCACATAGACTTCTTTTCATATTGAAAACCATGTTTCAAAAAATGTATTTTGCTCAGAATCTTTTTACAAAATCGAGGTTTTATTTTTATGAATCAAAAAAAAGTTTAGTTCAAAGTTTGTTACTGCAAAAAATTATGTTCCACAGTTGATAGTGTCATATATCTACTTTCTCTGAAGATAGAAAGAGATTATTTGCTACCTTGAAGCTCTGGGTAGCACAACAGCTGGTATATATCTTATCAAATCAATAGGTGCTGGACCAAAATCTCAAGCAAGTGTTTACATACCATAGGTCAAGAATGGGAGTCCCCCACCTTTCTGGCGGAGGCACTTTTAACTTCCTCCAAGGTTTTATAATCACAACTAGGGTAGGTGGACATAGAAATATCTGAGTGGCAAAAGCAAGACAGTTTTGCTCCCGCCTCTATAAGGAGCACAACAGAGTGAGAAGAATGGGTGTTGGCAGCCCAGTAAGACTTGGAGATCTAAATGAGATCATTGGTTGGTTTGTCATCCATAACAAATATTTAGGGTCTGATCCTTTATGCAAGGCTCTCTGCTCTGTGTAGGGCACGATGTCCACTGAGTCCTTTATATACATGATAGCTTATTATTGGATACTTTGCCGATGAGTAATTGCTCCACTACACAGAAATAAAATTGGAAACATTCTTCTTTATGTTGTTCCTGTAAGTTCTTGCTTTCCCTTCTGATAAATAAATTTTTCTGACTATTGTTGGTCCTCTCTGCTTAGAAATTCCAAAGAGGCACTATGTGCCATCACAGGGCTTGAAGATATCAGGTGCTCAAAAAATATATGTTTGTTAAATGACAAGCTAATTAATTCATAAGTCCCAATTCAACAACATAAGGAGCTAGGTAGTTTGTGGTTGATAAATCCAAATCATAAGCATGAGAAATTTTTTGAAGTTGAAGCTGACGAAAATTAGAACAATTCTATGACGGTCAAAGTATGACCTTGAGTATATCTCACCTGAATTTAGAGGCCATCTCAAGAATAGATTTGACATGTTGAACACTAATAACCAAAGACCAGATGAGTTGTGGAATGACATCAAGGACATCATACATGAAGAATGCAAGAGGTCATTACAAAGACAGGGAAGAAAGAAAAGACCAAAATAGGCATCAGAATAGACTCTTAAACATGTTCTTGAACATCCAGTAGCTAAAAGCAAAAGGAAGAAGTGAGGAAGTAAAAGACCTGAACAGAAGATTTCAAAGGGCAGCTCAAGAGGACAAAGTAAAGTATTATAATGACACACGCAAAGAGCTTGAGATAGAAAACCAAAAGAGAAGAACACGCTCAGCATTTCTCAAGCTGAAAGAACTGAAGAAAAAATTCAAGCTTCAAGTTGTAATATTGAAGAATGCTACAGGGAAAATATTAAACGATGCAGGAAGCATCAAAAGAAGATGGAAGGAATACACAGTCATTATACCAAAAAGAACTGGTCAACATTCAACCATTTCAGGAGGTAGCATATGATCAGGAACCAATAGTACTGAAGTAGGAAGTCCAAGCTGCACCAAAGGCATTGACCAAAAACAAGGCTTCAGGAATTGACGGAATACCAATTGAGATGTTTCATCAAACGGATGCAGTGCTGGAAGTGCTCACTCGTCTATGCCAAGAAATCTGGAAGACAGCTACCTGGCCAACTGACTGGAAGAGATCCATATTTACGCCTTTTCCCAAGAAACATGATCCTACCGAATGCAGAAATTATCAGACAATATCACTAAAATCACAAGCAAGTAAAATTTTGCTAATGATCATTCAAAAGCATCTGCAGCAGTACATGGACAGGGAAGTGCCAGAAATTCAAGCCAGATTCAGAAGAGGTTGTGGAACCAGGGATATCATTGCTGATGTCAGATGGATCTTGGCTGAAAGCAGAGAATACCAGAAAGATGTCTTCCTGTGTTTTATTGACTATGCAGAGGCATTTGACTTGTGGATCATAACAAATTATGGATAACATTGCAAAGAATGAGAATTCTGAAACACTTAATTGTACTCATGAGGAACCTGTAAATAGATCAAGAGGCAGTCATTCAAACAGAACAAGGGGATACTGTGTGGTTTAAAGTCAGGAAAGACGTGCGTCAGGGTTGTATACTTTCACCATACCTATTCAATCTGTATGCTGAGCAAATAATCTGAGAAGCTGGACATCAGGACGGGGCATCAGGGTTGGAGGAAGACTCGTTAACAACCTATGATCCACAGATGACACAACCTTGCTTGCTGAAAGTGAAGAAGACTTGAAGCACTTAGTGATGAAGATCAAAGACCAGAGCCTTCAGTATGGATTACACCTCAATATAAAGAAAACAAAAATTCTCACAACTGAACCAATAAGCAACATCATGATAAATGGAGAAAATATTGAAGTTGTCAAGGGTTTCATTTTATTTGGATCCACAGTCAACACTCATGGAAGCAGTGGTCAAGAAATCAAAAGACACATTGCATTGGGCAAATCTGCTGCAAAAGACCTCTTTAAAGTATTAAAAAGCAAACATGTCACCTTGAAGACAAAGGTGTGCCTGACCCAAGCCATAATATTTTCAATTGCCTCATATGCGTGCAAAAGCTGGATGATGAATAAGGAAGACTGAACAAGAATTGACACCTTTGAGTTGTGGTGTTGGCAAAGAATATTGAATATACCATGGAATGCCAAAAGAATGAACTAATCTGTCTTGGAAGAAGTACAACCAGAATGCTCCTTAGAAGCAAGGGTGGAGAGACTATGTCTCACATACTTTGGACACGTTATCAGGAGGGATAAAGTAGAAGGTCAGAGAAGGAGAGGAAGACCCTCAACCAGATGGATTGACACAGTGGCTGCAACAGTGGGCTCAAACATAACAAGGATTGTGAAGATGGCACAGGACCCAGCAGTGTTTCATTCTGTTGTACGTAGGGTCGCTAGGAGTTAGAACCAACTGGACAGCACCTAGCAACAACAAGTAGCCGTATCTTAAATTTTCTCATTTACTTATATATTTCCAGGGAGTATTATATTAGAAAGGATCCCTGGTGGCGCCATGGTCAAAGCTGTTGGCTGCTATCCAAAAGGTCAGCGGTTTGAAACCACCAGCGGCTCCATGGAAAAAAACGTGGCAGTCTGCTTCCATAAAGATTTACAGCCTTGGAAACCCTATGGGGCAGTTCTGCTCTGTCCTATAGGGTCGCTATGAGTCAGAATGGACTCAATGGCAGTGGGTTGGTTTGCTTTGGTAATATATTAGGAAGCCTGTTTGTGATATGTTTTATGATTCTTTATTAAACATTTCCTGAATAGATCTATACTAGCTTTTTCAAAACCCAAGGGCTTGGCACAAGTAATACAAAATAAGCCAAAGGATATCCAAATTAATAATTAAAATTTAATGCTTTTCTATAATGACATTCACTATTACAAAATAGGATTTATTTTAAATACTTCAAAATAGTGAGAATGAGTTGGCTGTGATGTCACAGTGTCAGCTAGAAAAATTTAAAGAGCATACTATATTACTATCATCCTTGGTATAAAATTTACCAACTTGCCACTCAGCTACTTAAATATTTGCTATCCCTTGCAAAACTTTTAACGCTCCTATCTTTACTGGTCTCCCAACAGTACTTCTATACGTAGTTTATCTTGCCGATAAGATGGTTTTCCCTTAAATGAAGATATATGGAGCATTTATATTTTAGAATCAAAAGTTGAGAATGTAAATTTTGAAACTGTAAGGTTATATTTCTGATCTGGGGCTGAAACCAAGAGAGTCTTGCTAGTAGCAAACCAATACTTTGAACTCAGCTATTAACTCACCTAAGAGAACTCCTACTATATTTATTGCCATTACAGAATTGTGGCTCACAGGTATTTATACCACATGTGCTCTAAATATTACATTATATCTGGAGCATAGCTGAATAAAGAGGAGAGACCGTAACTTTTTTTCCAAATGATGCAGTGTAACCATTTAGTAGAAGAAAGCTTTAGATCTATCTGGGAATTAATGGAGTCCCTGAGTGGTGATAACAGTTAATGTGCTCAGCTGCTAACCAAAAGCTCGGAGGTTCTAGTCTACCCAAAGTCTCCTCCGGAGAAAGTCCAGGTGATCTACTTCCGAAAAATCAGCCATTGAAAACCTTGTTCTACTCTGATACATATGAGGTCACCATGAGTCAGAACTGACTGGATGGCAACTGGTTAACTTGCCAAAGACTCTACTCTGTTTTTTCTGAGAGTACTTTAGAGCTCTTTGCATTGAGGTCTCACCATGATGGATGGCACCCACACTGACGAATGCTTTCGCTTGTAATCACCACCTCTTCACCCTCATCTCCACAAAGGAAAGAGCCAAATAGACTGCAGTGAGTGAGATGCGTGTTTTCACTGGACAGTGTCCCCACCAAGCCACCCCCATCTGGTTTTGGATATTAAGGTGGTTTTATTTTGCAATTTGTTTCATGCCTGATGGCCTAACTGTAGCAAATGAGCAGAGAGAGACAGAACCAGGAAGAGAGAGGGAGAGGGTAAGGGAGAGAAGGCCTGAGAGAAACTTTCCTGCAGATTAAATAATGGACCATGTATTGAGACGTATAAAGTGACATTCCAAGGTTAAAATAATTTTCCCTTTTAAGTTGGCGTTGATTTATGTGATGGCTGCAGTTGAGCCCTGGATCTCAGTTTCTTAGCTGGCTGCAGCTCCAGCCAGCAGGCAGCCCGGATTCTGCTGAAGCAGCTACCCACAGGAGGGGGAGTGGCAGAGACCCTCCTAGACTTCTGGCTGCATTCTAAACTAAAAGAGCCCATGGTTCCTTCTTCCGTCCCAGGAATCCTCACTTGCCCTCTGGCCTGTGTA